AAATATAAATGAACCAAACTCATAAAAAGATTACTGAATCAATTTTTAAAAAACATGATCCAACTATATACTATCTAAAAGATTCTCATTTAGATTTAAGAACACACATAGGCTGAAAGTGAAAAAATTCAAAAAGATAGCCCATGCCAATGGTAACCAAAAGAGAGCAGGAGTGGCCATACTTATTTCAGATAAAATGACTTTAAATCAAGAAGAAAAAGAAAGACATTATATAATGATAAAATGCTCGACTCACCAGGAAGATATAACAAACATACACAGTCCAATACCATGGCTCCTCAAGATATAAAGCAAACATTGACAGAACTGAAGGGAGAAATAGAAGAATGAAATCGAAATAGATAACAACAAAATAATAGTAGGGGATTTTACTATCCCACTCTTAATAATGGATAGAACATTCAGAAAGAAGATAAATAAAACAGAAACTTGAACTATCGTGTTTGGGATATACCGCGAATCTGAAGTACCTGGAGAAAATCCACATAGACATGGAAAGAATGTGCAGACTCTATATAGACAGTGGTCCTGGCTGAGAATGTGAAAGTTCTCTACTTAATAAGGAAGGGGGAAAAAAATTATATAGGATTCAGTACCATCTGTCATTTCAGATATCCGCTTGGGGGTCTTGGAACATATCCCAGATAGATAAGGGGACTACTATGTTCCTGTTTGAAGTGATTTACGTAATGTGTCCAGTGAGGCAATGCAATTTTTAATATGATCAGTTCTCTGGTATGGCTATTAAATTTATTAAGGCAATTCCAAAAGTCATCATATGACTTTCTTCATCCATGGTCTAATTACCTATGCTTAATACTAAATTGATCTTTCCTCTGTCTGATGGCTAAAGACCAGATTTAGAAAGTGTGTTTCAATTTTCTCTCATTTTATAGCACATAAACAGTATGTTAGATATCCTTAGTTTAATTTACCTTTTCTTTCTCCTTGCCCTCCCTGACACATTTTCATTATGTATTTTCGGCAACTCTGTACTAGGTCACCTTTTCTTCCAAGAGTTTTATTCTGTTTCCCAGATTTTTGAAATGAGTACACACCGGCCAGCTCTCACTTTCCCTAAATGGGGGATTTATTACACCATTAAAACATTTCATTCAAACCATCTCTACTTTCAGCAGCTCTGTTATGATTCTCCGAGCCAGTCTGAAAAAGAATCCCTTAACTGATACTTCACGTAACGTACCCAGCTCACAGAATCACATTCTGCAAAGTGTGCACTTTAGATTGTAACTAAAAACAGGCAAGTTTCCCCTGCCCCTGGCATGACTCCAAACATCTGAAATGTTAGAACATGGTGCTTTTATGCTGAACCATTACACAATTGCAGGAGTGCAGGTCTGCCTTGTTTCCACTTACTGCTACTTTGGAAAGAGAGAGAGAGAGGCACAGAGAACCGCTTTCCATGATAAAATACATGTGTTTAGCTGGCAGGAAGAAGAGAAGAGGGGAGGAAGGGCACCTGAAAGATGTTCAGTTTAGGTGACTTCTATCTGAAAAGGATGGGAAAGGACACTAAAAGGACTTTTTACAATCCCATCCTTTTTGGCTCCTGGAACGCCTAAGAACTGAGAAAAACATCACCATCATCAGGACTTGAAAAGTCACATCTCTTGGCATATAGGCTGAATCCTCTTGAGCTAATGCTTGAGACCTTAGGATCAGAAGAAAGTCAGGGTCTTGATCCTGACCTGAGAATCAAAACTCTCCGGATTAGCTGCTTTCAGACAGATCCTTTTCCCTTTTTTGAGTCTGATTTCTGGAGCAGCTTTTCTCCGAGCATAGCTGCAAAATCGCTTCGTTCTTGATCAATATCTAAAAGATCATGGGGGGAAGAAAGAATTTCTTACAACTCATTGCAACCAGGATGACTTTTAACTTCTAGGGCAGATGGGGAGGGTGATGGGAAGAGACTGTCACCTATTTGCGGTATGCAAACAAGGTCGACCTCCTATCACATCATTCATTCGTTCATTCAGGTAGTAAACACACATTCATTAGCTTGCGCGCGCTCTCTCTCTCCTGATATTGAAGGAGCCCAGAGAAGAAAAATGCATGTGGGCCAAGAGACTCTCGCTCACTCAGAGCAGAAATGGACGGCTTCAACAGAAACAAACCAGGCCCGAACTGGTACCAGGGAAAGAGCGTCCCTTAGGAGGCTGGAAAACCTGGTTCTGCCACTGCCTGGGCGGATCCCGTGGACGTTCTGAGCTTGAGTTTATCCCACATGGAAAATGGGTATCAGAATAAATTATCCCTAAGGCCCCTTCTGGACGGACGTAAGTTTCTACCTTTCCAAGATCCTCAGATATCTTTCCGTACCCAGCACTGAGCATCCTTAAAAAAAAAAAAAAAAAAAAGAAGGAAAAAAGAAGCCAGCTCGATGGCTCAGCCTGTCATCCCAGCACTTTGGGAGGCCGAGGCGAGTGGATTGCCTGAGCCCGCGAGAGCAGCCTGAGCAACTTGGCAAGACCTCGTCTCTACAATAAATAATTTTTTTAAAAAAATTAGCCGGGCGTGGTGGTGCACGCCTGTAGTTCCAGCTACTTGGAAGGCTGAGGCGGAGGGATCACCCTGGGGTGGCCGTGAGCGTGCCACTGCGCTCCAGCCTGGGTGACAGAGTGAGACTCCAATTCAAAAACAAAAAAAAGGAAAGGAAAGGAAAAAGGAAAAGCAAAGATCAGGTGGTGTACACACACACACACACACACACACACACTCTCTCCTCTGCCTCCCGCTTCTGCTTATGTGTTGAAAGTTCTGGGCGATCACAGGTGTGCCAGCTCTCAGACACCGGAGGCTGCGGTCACACTGAGCACTGCAGCCCGGGCATCTCATTCCAAACAGAAAAAAGACAGACGGAAGCTCTCGACGGCCTCGGGGAGAGCATGCGGCGCCGGGAAGGAGCCCCGCAGGTCCAAGAGGAAAGCGGATGCTCCCCCGGTCGGAGGGCAAGGCTGGCTTCCCAGCGCTGTGCCCGGCGTGCGCCCGCCTCACGCCGGCGACCCGCCTTCCCCTGGCG